GTGGGTGAATCGACGCAATTCTGTTCCATGGTATTGTGTTGAAAGTTTCTGTTTCTACCTCCAGGTGTCTTTCCCAACGTTCTGCTATTATTGGGTCTGGATTTGCGGAGCGGCATCTCAGCCTATAGCCTAGCATGGTTGTGTATTGTAGTAAGTTGAATTTAGTGTTGATTCCTAAGGTTCCTTGCTTTAGGTTCCAACCCCATTCTGCTGGGTCTATTTCCAGGTTCTCTAAAGGGATTTGGGGGAGGTAGATGGTTAGGTCTTCGTTTTCTATTACTCTTATTTTCAGTAGATTATCCTCGCGGACAGAGACTTGTGCTGTTGAGTTTTTGTTGATCTTGCTGTGGTCGGAACCTGGTTCTTCTATTTCGTGCATAGTAAATATGTACCAGTCTTGTTTATCTTCTTCTCTGCCTCAGTATGCTAGCGCGTGTTTCTGATGAGGTTCGTTAATTATTATTACCCAGTCCCCTGTGTTCCACTGTCTGTCTTTTTTTAGTATTGGAATCCATTCTTGTGGGATGACTGCTATGATTTCTTGTAGGTTCTGGTTTAGTTGCTGGCAGACCTTGAGTTGTTGCCTGAGTTGTTGTCGTGTTTCCATTCTTTCATGTTGTCATCCCAGATATGTTTAATCTTCCATATTCCTTTTTCTAGACAGACTCCCCATTTTTGTGTCTTTTGAGGTCAGTGTGAATGGGCTTCCATCTTCTTTTGCTATCCACTGGTTGCAGAATAAGGGCTGTCGTGGTATTTCTTCCTTGTGGTTTGGTTTGCTGACCTTAGCTGGGAAAATCTCTCTCCAGTGCATCATTCCGTTTCTTGTCTGGATGCACATTGCTTGTTCTTGCTTCGCATTGTGTATTCTGAGTCCTCCTCATCACATTGGCATTCCTTCGGTCTTGTGCATCGCTCATCTGCAGATGAGCCCGCATCATCAATACGATGATGATGTATGCATGTGTCGAGTCATGAGTCAGACGAGTCAGATCGTCTTCAAGCTGCGTTGTATGCATGTCTTTCTTTGTTTTTGAGATCTGCTGGTTCTGCACATTGCCTATCAAGTATCTACTGATAGGCAGGCATCAAAATAACCACCTGCCCACCGTAGTTTCAAATGGATTGTCAAACTACTGATAACCTGAATCAGCATGGAACAAACTGGCTTTGGATAGCATAAGGGGTTTAGCCCCAACAGCGACACCAGCGAACATGTCCGGTTTATTTTGGGTAATGAATAAGGAATGGATCCCAAAAACAGGCCGTAGAAATCAAAGAAGAGGAGCTCGTCCAAATCAAGCCAGGCCTCCCACACCCTATTGGGCAGCCTTGCTTCAGATATGGCGGGAAATTATGCCGGAGAAGGTAGGTAAACCCAAGTCCAAAGAGGAGGTACTGAGGCAACCGCTATTCGGCAACCCTTGGATGAGAGGTGAAAGCGGTCACTCGCTCTCCCTCAAACCAAGGGTATGCGATGGCTGTCATGGATAAAGCATGGAATCTGGAGAGTGAGCCATACATGGGACAAAGGAAAAAAAGATTGGCTGACCAATCAGGAACTTACCACCCGCTTTAAAGGATGCCATCGGTGGGAGGAGAATTTGCAAACTATCGGCAAATGCATTCCAGAAGGCTGGAAGGAGCTGCTGAGTGAAGCGTCGACTTGGAAAACTGGGGAATGGGAAGTCAAGATACAGGAATTGTCCCCCTCAAGAGCCTACCAATTTTCTCACAAACAGCAGGGATCAGATACCCTGGCTGTCTTTACCTCATTCCCAATCGTGTCATCACGTCATGGCTCTTCGTCCATTCTGAATACGGATGTGGAAAGAACAGTCGTAGATTTGTTCATTCTCAGGAAAGTAAGAGTTCTCGGCACATGGCCCAAAACAATCTTCAGAATGGATATGGCGATTCATGACTTGGAATTCGACCCGGCAGAATGGGCTTGGAGACCAAAGAGAAGCAGAAGTCTCAAAACGAACGTCCACATTCGGGAATACACAGTCAAACTGGGATAAACTACTCCTCAAGACAAAGGATCCTGACCCAACAATTAAAAACAGATGGCAGAAGTTAATAGGTCAGGACTCCAGCCAGATCTCACAAATACCATGGAAAAAGTTCAAGTCAATCCGACCAGTCAAAATCAGAAACCTGCAGTGGCTCATCTCGTACGTGGCTCTACCGGTCAACCAGTGGTTACATATCAGAAGAAGTAAGAATGACCCTAACAGATCAGATTTATGCATGGTATGTTCGAAAAATGAACCAGAAGATATGGTACACTGCCTAATACGTTGCACAGAGGCGACGGAATACTGGGCTAGAGCTTCGGACCTCTGGGATTCCCTCTTCTCGACTCCCCTCCCTGAACACCCCATCCAACTCCTTCTATGGACTAACTGTAGCGGACCCACCGGGAAGGTGCTCCGCCTGGGATACAGATAGAGATGGAGGATGAGGGAGGAGCGAGATGGCACAGCGCAGCTCCCACGCAAGACTCCAGCGCACGTACTCCAAAATCGTGCAAGTGTAGAATGATCACGAAAACAGACAACTGTTGGGGTATACCCCAGCGGACTGACGGGACTGGACTGGACTGGCTGGTACCGACAAAGGTACCGGCCTGGACTGGACTGGACTGCCCCCGAATAGAACACAGGACTGTGAGAACAGGCCAAGGGGCTGGTCTCACAGGCCAACCAGAGGTCCGCTACACGATCCTCGACTTGTGATGGATCGCCTAGATACAAGCACGCTTCCGCCAAGAAGCGGAACTCTACCAAAGAAAAAGAAAACCTGAGTAGTCTAGGATGCGGAACAAGCTCCATGCTGAGTCCATGCGATGCAACCTAGGATAGAAAATATCACAAAACAACAATGTCACAGCTAACAGCCTAAGTGAAAGCAGAAGCAACTAACTAGCATACATGTCCTAGGAAAGCAGAAGGTAATGACAACTAGGTCCTCGAATGTTGGAGGCAGTAGCCTCAGTCTGGGAATAACTGACTAGTGTATAAGTCCTAAGAACAGCAAAAGCAGAACAACTAAATCCTAGAAATGTCAGAGGCAATAGCCTCAGTCTGAGAGCAACAAGCAACAACAAGTCAACCATATGTCACAGGAGAAGTGTGTCGCAAACCAAAGGGTGGGATGGTCTCTGAGGGTGGCGAATGCATCCTAGGGGTCGAAAACTCCTAAGGGCATCCACACATAGTGACAGGGGGAACACATGTCATCAGGCTCAATGAGGGTAGGGAACTGGGAGCGAACAGAACCAATGACCCTAACAGATAGACCATCAGGGCGGGTAATGCTCGACTAAGGGGGCGACCGCTATGGAGGGTCAACCATGCAAGGGAACAAGGGAGCCTGGTATACTGGGCGCACCTAGATGAAGCATGCGGGGCTGCCTAACTAGGGCGTGAGGGCCGGCAGAGGGTAGGAAAGTGATGGGTAAGGGAATCATGCAAATGACTCCTAAAGTGAGGGAAGTCGGAACTAGATCCGTAAGATGGGAAGCCAGGGCAACGCTACGGTCCCGATGCCTATGCGTATACCAAGGGAGAGCCCAACTCAGAGGAACCCGGCTAAAGGGAGACCATCATGCGACACAACAAGGGTACTGTACAGGGTAAGTGGTAAGAGAGTGATGACGTCTGAAGTAGGCAGAGCTGATCGTAACGAAATCCATGAAGCTGCCGATGACGTCCACGATGAGAAGTCCGGAACGTCGTCGAGGAAGAGCCGCAACGTCGACGAGCTGAAGTAGCAAAACTGGAGTGGATGGAGTACTGAGAAGTCAAAAACGCGGCACGTGCTGCCATGCGAGTCTGGGAAGCGGCTATGTGCTCATGTGCGGTCTTCATGATCGACATCATGTGTGCAACCCAATCATACAGCGCGGGACAACTCGTGTCGGGGTGCATCTGTGACGGTCGAAGGAAGTCCGCGGGAACACGAGGGTGGTAGCCGAGGTCGCAATAGTAAGGTGACATCCCCGTAGCTGGTGAGACGGCGTGGTTGTAGGCTATCTCTGTGTGGGCAAGATGGAGATCCCACTGCGGGTCGTCACGAACAATCTTTCGGAGAATATCTCCGAGAGTCCTGTTCGTGACCTCGGTCTGACCATCAGTCTGAGGATGATAAGACGAGGAGAAGCGGAGCTGAGTGTCGTACACCTTGTGGAGTCGTCGCCAGAATCGGCTGGTAAAGCGCGGGTCACGGTCAGATATGATGCTCAGAGGTAAGCCGTGGTCATGCACGACTCGGTCAAACACGATGTCGGCGACCTCACGTGCACTGATGGCATAGCGGCATGGAACAAAGCGTGCATGCTTCGTGAAGCGGTCGACGACGACCAAGATATAGCATCATGACCGCGGGGGGTCGGAGGACGAAGAGGACCGATAAGGTCCATTGAGATGGACTGCCAACGACCCTCAGGGATAGGAAGAGGTTGGAGCAAACCATAAGGCAAGTGGTTCACACTGTTCACCTCCTGACAGGTGGGACACTCTGCGACGTAGTCCTTCACAAAGTCCTTGCACTTCGGCCAGACGTACAGGCGGCTCACACGAGCCAACGTCTTGTGGAAACCCATATGACCGGCGGGTGCCTGGTCATGGAACTCTGCTACTGCCCGGACACGTAGCTGTCCAGTGGAGGGAACGCAAATACGGGGCTCTCTGGTGCCCTGTGAACCGTGCCAGTACACATGACCGTTGTCCCCGAGAGAGTAGTTCGGAAGGTCTTGCCACTCCGAAGGGTCGCGTGGATGTCGCGATAGTCGGGGCAGTGGCGGTACTGAGTGTGAAACTCGTCGATCACCGAGTGGTGGATGGTGGTGACCGAGATGGAAGAGAGTTGGATCTGCTCCTAGTCGTGGTCAGGGCGCTGGGATAAGGCATCTGCGACCCGATTAGTCTTACCCTTGATGTGCTCAGTGGTGAAACTAAACTCGGATAGGTCGCGCCACCAGCGATCTTGTCGAGGAGTGAGCTTCGGTTTTGTTAGAAAAGCCTAGACAACAGAGTTGTCCGTACGCACCGTCAACGGTGCCCCGTGCAGGTAGTGACGTCAGTGTCGAGCGACATAAACTACTGCGAGAACCTCACGTTCATCAGCGGTGTAGTTTATCTCGGCGGGCAGAAGCTGACGGGAGTAGAAGGCTATCGGACAATCACCTGAGCGAGACTGGACAGTGCCGTCCTCGACGATGGTAGGAGAATAATCAATAGAAGGTTCGTCAGTAGCTGGACGAGTAGGCGTCCGTCGGGAAGCAGTAGTAGGGGTAGGTGGTGGGAAGCGAGGGATACGAGGATGAGAGGAATCAGGAGAGGAGGGGAAGATCTGAGAAAGCACTGCTCCTACAGCAAAGTCTGACGCATCGGTGGTAAGGATAAAAGGGCGATCAAAATTGGGTAGTTGAAGAACCGGTGCGCATGTCACTGCCTTTTTGAGGGCGCGGAAGGCGTCCTCGTGGAGGGGAGTCCAAGCCCAGGGTGGGTTCTTCCGGAGGAGGGTGGAGGTAAGGACGTAGGAATACCTACCGTATCCCTGGGTGAAATTACTGTAGTAGTTGGTAAGGCATAGGAAGCTGCGAAGCTGCTTAGCGGATGTGGTGACGGGCCACTCCACGATAGCAGTGATCTTCGCGTCGTCCATGTGGAGACCTTGGTCAGACACGTAGTGTCCTAAGAAATCCACTTTGTGCTGTGCAAAGCGGCACTTGCTCAGCTTGGCGTAAAAGCCATGTCTGCGCAAGCGGTTAAGAACGTCGCAAAGGTGTCTGAGATGCTCCTCAAGGGTACGGCTGTAGACCAAGATATCGTTGAGGTAGACGAGAACGTACTGCTCCAAGATGTCCCTGAAAATGTCGTTCATCGCCCTCTGGAAGGTAGCGGGTGCGTTGGTAAGGCCAAATGGCATCACCGTAAACTCGTAGTGGCCGAAGCGCGATCGGAACGCCGTCTTCGGTTGGTCCGCTGCAGCGACGTGGATCTGATGGTAACCGCTACGAAGAGCAATCTTCGTAAAGAAGCGGTTGCTTGCTAGACGGTCGAACAACTCATTGGAACGAGGCATAGGGTAGTTGTTCTTAACCGTGTAGCGGTTGAGTCCGCGATAGTCGATGCAGAGATGGAGAGTTCCATCCGCTTTGCGAGGAAAGAGGACGGGTGCACCCAACGGGGAGTTGCTGGGTTTAATGAAACCCAGTCTCAGGAGCTCCTCAAGCTGACGCTTGAGTTCAGTGGCCTCAGGGATCGAGAGTCTGTAGGTTGCGTGGTGGTGAACACGATAAACAGGCACAAGCTGGATGGAGTGCTCGACGTCGCGCATCGGTGGGATGCCGGTGTATGAGAACGACGATGGGAAAACGTCGTGGTACTCTCGAATGAGGTCACAAACTGCGGGCTCCAGGTCGACCGTATATCGTGCGAGTTCCTCAGCGTCAGCATCAGCGCGCGACGGCGGGGTGGACTCGACGGACGGCGGAGAGTGGGAAGTAGAGATGGGAACCATGGAGATAGAAGGAGGATCTGGCTCCAGAGGGATGAGCTCGGCGTCGGGACAGGGTGGATCATAGTGTAAGAGATCCGTCACGTTCACCATAAAGAAGGTGACGTCGTCCTGTCGGATGAAGTGGGCGAACTGCCGAGGTGAGGTGACAGTGATAGAAGGAGATGGTGTGGGCACGGAAGGCTCCGGGGGAGGAGGATCGGGGCGTGGTGTCGCATGGTACCTATGAAAGGTGCGCGATACGTCTGTCCACACTTCCTTTTGAGAATGAGAGTGTTGGTCGCCCAATTGGCCTCGGTGCTGCGAAACCGACAAGACCACGGAGTGCCGAGAATGAACTCGTAACCCGTCTCCATCACATCGAAATGTGCAGAGGAGAAGTGGCGACAAGACGCCGGGGGACGATCAGTCGACTCGAGGGTGAGGAAGAAAGGGAGGTCGGTGACCGTCTGATCGAAGAAGCGTTGAGTCTTGTCATCCCCTAGGGTGACGGAGATGGGAGTCGGAGACCCTGTTGTGGGTAAGCGGGCTTCTTTCACCACACGTGGGTGAATGAAGTCGCCCTGAGAACCGGAATCCCACAGCGCTGAATACACCCTCGTGGAGGTCCCCAGCCGTACTGGAATAATCGGGAGGGTGTGATCAGGGTCAGAGAGGATGGTGAGAAGGCGACGCAGTGCAGCGACATGGAGGGTGAGTCGCTCCTGACGAGCCTGGAGCATGCTCAAGTCTAGAAGAGAGGACACAACGTCCTCGCGAGTAGCGAGTTGCTCGCTACAACGGGCTGAGCGAATGGCTCGACGTGTCGGGAGTCGCAGAGGGGTAGAAGGGGAGACGGTGGTCTGCAGAGGCGATATTGCGATAGAGGGCTGAGTACACTCTGTCGGGTCCTGCGAGACCTCAACTCCTGTAGCAAGAGGGGCAAACCGCGACGGGAATGTCGGGAAGCCGGCTACTGAGGAGGGCGCAGGTGTACACTGCACCGTGGCTAGGAGGCACCATGGGGATGAGAGGCGTCGGGGGGGGACTGAGCATGACGCTGGCGGGAAAGGTCAGCGTAGTGGCGGTCGAGGGCGGTGGTATAAGGGCACCGCGAGGAGGTATGACCGTCCAGGCGACATCGCAAACACCCACGTCGGCCCAAAATAGCCACGCGCTCCTTAGCGGAAAGGACACCGCGAGGAGGGACAAAGCCCTGAGGGAGGTCCTGCTGAGGGACCTCGGGGGGCGATGCGCCAGCGTGACCGGGGCGGCTGCGTGCCCGGGAGAGGGCGGAGAGGATGAGCTGGAGGCGCTCGGCCATGGGGAGAGTAATGTCCTCCAGGTGGTGGTGGACGGCCTCGCCGAGGTCGAGGTCGCCGCTATGGTCACCCTCTGGCGACAGCGGGGCACCAGCGTCCTGCTCACCATACTCAAGCGCGTTGAAGCGGCGCGAGAAGTGGCGGCTGTGCTGCGCTGAACGGCGGGGGCGACCGCAGAAAGGGGAACGGCGCTGGGAAGTGCCGTGAGAGGAGGAGGAGCCGTAGCCGGTGCGCTGAGGCTGGGAGGAGGAGGCGGGGTGTAGACGGGCCTGCATCCGTTGATGGTCCCTGGTGGCCTCGTAAGCCTGCGGGGCCGATGTGAACTCGTACCACCATAACTCGGAGCGATACTGGAGCGGAAGGCTGACCAAGAAACGATCGATAAGGGCAGCCTCGGGGAGGAACGCCACGTCACAAATGAGGCGGGTGTCCTGAAAGACCTGGATGTGGCGATCCAGGCCGGCAGCGCCACCAGAGCCGGACCAACGTGTTGTGACGACACGCTTGAAGGCGTCAGTCACGTCGTGTCGGGCTCCGAAACGATCCTCGAGGAACGCCTGAAAATCCATTAAGGTCGGAGTCCAACCCGCACGAAGGGAGTGCGCGTAGAAATCCTCCCAGGCCTCGAAAGGACCGCCACGCAGGCGCGTGGAGAGGTGACCCACCCACGTGTCGGGTGTGGCGCCCATGAGCTGAAGCGTGCGGGTGGCAGACTGCAGCCACCGAGACACGCGTATCCCTGTACCGTCGTACAAGGCAATGTCCGCCAAGCGGACGAGTGGTGCGCCACCGTTTTGGCGGCGAGGGGATCGAGGAGCAGAGGACTGTGCCACGGCTGAGTAAGTCGGCGCAGGCCCTGGAGAAAGGGGCGCAGCTGACTGTGCCATCGGGCCGCATGGGGGGGCGGTGGGGGCAACAGCGGCAGGCTGCGAGGGAGCTGCGGGAGAAGAAGTCGCAGGAACCGCGGGAGTATGAAGAAGGTAGGATGGGGCTGGATAGGGTGCAGGGCGAGGGAAGCGAGCCTGCATGGGAGGAAGGGTAGAGGAAGGATGGGGTGCGCCTGAAGGCGCGACCACCTGTGAGAGTGGGGGTGGCTGAAGGCGTAAGAGGGCGAGGTCGGCCCGGATCTGGGCAAACTCGTCCTCGAGACGTTGGACGTAGATCGTGCGAGGAGTGGCAGGAGGAAGAGTGGGGGAAGTGGACGCAGGAGCGGCGCGGGGCATCCCAGAGGGGGGAGAGCCAGGTGGCGCTGTGGTCGTGTGAAGGGGGGGGAGAAGCGGGGCACCCGGAAAAGCTGAGACCATGGTGGCGGGTTGTGGTCCCATGGCCGTAGTGACTGGAATCTGGGCTGGTGCGCTCGTAGACTGAGGGAGGGCGTGACTCGTGGCGGCCGTCGAGCTAGGGGCGTGGACGGTCACCAAAATGGTCGGGTCGTGGGCGCGGAGGAGGAAGCTCCACCATGGTCACCCTGTCGGAGGACTGGGGACCCGGACTGGGAGCCAGGAGATGGAGGACAGACAGCGTCTTGGAGTTGCTGCATGCCGGCGGCAAGGGTCGCCACTTGCGCCTGTAAGGGCGCGAGAATCGTGAGTTGTGCCTGAATGGGTGCGAGGAGGGAGGTGATGAGGGTGTGCAGATCCCCCTGGGTCTGATGGCCCTAGTCCGCCGGCACGGGTGTGGACCCCGATGCCATGGTCGTCGCTGCGTCGGCGGCGTGTGACGCACCGTCGGCCATGGGGAGGTGACGGGCCGGACTGGAGGGGGCCAGAAGAGGTCCGCGTGAGCGAAGGGCGTAGGGGGGGGTCCGCGGTAGAAAGCGACGGACGACGCTAGCAAGGCTAGCGCGGGCGCCATCAAAGGGGGAGGGGTGGTTCGGGTCCAGGGTGCCCGAAGAGGAAGGGGAAGTAAGGGGGTTTGAAGAACCCTAAACCCTAAAAAAAAAACCCTAAGAAAACCCTAACTGAAGTTCGAGTGGTTAGGGTAGGGTACCGGTGACCTAATCAAGAAAATAAAATAGCAAGCATAAGGGGGGAAAGGCGGGAGAAAAATAAATAAACAGGGAGATTTCGAGAGAAAATAAAAATAAATAAGAAAATAAATAAATAATAAAAATAATAATTAAAAAGAATAAGGAAATAAAATATAAAGAGAGAAATAATATTTATTTTTTTGGAATTTTTGGCAGCATTTCCCTACCCGCCATGGGGTCAAGAATGTGCCAAGGGGAAAGGAGAGACCAAGGTGAGCCCACTAGGTTTCAAGATGCCGCAAATATTTTTTTTCAGAAAATAAATAAAGAGATAATAAATAAATAAATAAATAAATAAGTAAATAAGTGGAAATGAAGTATCTGATTTTTCAAAATTTTCGGCAGCATTTCGTTACCCCCGTGGGGTCGAAGTGTGCCGAAAAGACTAAGTGAAGGAAAAAACAGAAAATTTCGGCAGCACTTCGTTACCCCCACGAGGTCAAAATGTGTGCCGAAAGCAAGAAAGACTAACACCTAATCAGATTTAAGGTTGCGGCAAGGAAATTCGAATTTTTAGAATAAGTAAAAAAAATAAATGAAATAAATCAGAAAATGAGAAAAGAAGGTGGGGAAGAAGATAATTCGAATTTTTGGAAAAATGAGAAAAAATAAATCAAAAGAAAGATAGAAAGAAAAAAAACAGAAAAAAAATTCGAAGTAGGGGGGAAGGGGAGTGAAAAAGTGAAGGAGAAAAGAAAGAAATAGGTGGGAGAGAGAGAAAAATGGAAGTGGAAGGTGGGGGGATGATGTGGTGGTAGTTGGGGGAGAGGAGGGATGGGGAAAGGTGGAGAGGGATCAAGAAGCAAGGAGAAAAGGAGGAGGAAAGAAAAGAAAAGAAATGAAGAAAAGAGAGTAAAAGAGTGGGTGCTGGGAGAAAGGTGGGGTGGGGAGAGAGGTATGAGTAAGAGGAAGAAGAGAAAGGGAGAGAAAGTGGGTTAGTAGGGAGAGGGGAGAAGTAATACCTGGCCCTTGGTGTCTCCAAGGACACAAGGTGTACCAAGACCAGGAGGGTCTTGGCCTTCGCTGCAGCAAGTCAGCTGGAGGAGAGATGGGGCTGAGATCTTGATCAGCCCCTAGCAACAGTTCTGCAGATCTGCAGATCTAGGGTCTGCTGTGTGAGCAGGCCCTCACCATTGTAGAGCAGCCCCCTAAGCAGGGGGGTCTTCAGTTCCACCACAAGCTGCCACTT